TTCCTTTCCCCCGCCGACCCCGTTTTTCCCTGAAAAAAGGGCCTGGCTGCCTCGGGGAAATTCCAGGTTCTGCTCTCAGCCCAATCTGCCCCCCCCGAACTACTAAACGCAAGCGGGGAGTTCGGGTTAGGAACCCTGTCGGAATGGCAGCCCGTATTCCCGTATTACAGTCAGCGTGGGGATGGTTACGGGAAGTTTGGAACGATTTCTATGCCTTTCAGCGGCGGGTTACCCTAGCCGGCTAGTTCGTGGCTCTGTTCTCACGAAGTATTTGTCGAGCGGTTCCAGATTTCTAGTTATAGAAACATACTCAGGTGTCACCTTGGCTCAGTGTAAACTCAGTTATTTGGATTACATCAGGAGTTAGTGTTCTGTAAACGAATCTCCCTGTGTTTGTTTTGACTTCCGGCTGATTTTTAAAACATTTTTTTTTCTAAGTTGAAGAACAAAGCTGCTTTAATCAGTCATCGTTTCAAATAAAGATGAGGATAGTAGCTGGACATGTTTAGTCAAGGCTTCTTAAACTAAATAATGCAGAAAATTTATTCCTAAAATGTGCCTTTATGATGGGAATCAATTCTCAACACTGCAGTCAATCGTAAACTTCTTTCCTCTCCCAGTTTGGCTTAGCACTTACATTTTAAACTGTGTAGTTAGTAAATTGTTTTAAGTGGATTGTTTAGTGTTTCTGGGTGTAATTGCTGGCTATAACCAGAGTAGTAAGCAAAATTACTGTTAAACACCATGCTAGCTCTGTGTGGTTTACTTTAGTTTTTCAAGTCTGTGTGTTGCCTTAGGTAGACACCGAATGCTACGTGTATGTATTTGGAGAATCAGTGATGGAAATGGTATATTAACTACATTTTTCTTCTCAACTTACTTTATTCTGGCAAAATGTATATACAATATTTGATCCTATTTGGAGTGAAATAATTTAAACAGTTTTCCATTTTTCCAGGGGATGCTTTTTTTTCCTTCATGGCAAATCTATTGTCAGTCTTTTGTGATTGCCTTTCTGCTGGGGACGGCTGGTTTCAGGCCAGATGAATTACATCCTAGGATATTAAAGGAGCTTGCTGATGGTCTGCCCAATGCTCCAACTAATTCATTATTTTTGAATTACCCTGGAGAACAAATGCCCAGAGAAGGACAAACATTCTCTATTTCTTCAGATTGGGGAAGAAGGAGAATCTAAGGAATTATAGACCAGTCTGATTTCAATACCTGCCAAATTCTAGAGCAGATAATAAAGTGATCAGTTTATAAGCACCTGGAAAACAATGCATAGGTTAGTAGTAGTCAGCATGGGTTTGTAAAAAAGCAAATCTTACATTTTTTCACTCTATTAACTTCCTTAGTAGATTCTAGGAATGCTGAAAAGGTAATTTATCTTGATTTCAACAAATATTTGACAAAGTACTTCAGGATATTTTGATGAGTAAACTAGTGAAGTATTGTAATGGTATGTGGGAATGACTTTGGGAGATAGGAGGAAGACCCGTTGCCTAGACTGCAGGTGTTTCTCCTGTCCCCCAAGGTCATTCCCACATACCATCACAAGTATGGTCTAATGGCATTTCAAATAATAGAAATGCTGCTAGACCATACTTTACTAGTTTACTAGTCTAATTAGCAAATAATACTGAAATAATGCTTATCAGCTATTATTCCTCCACCTGGATTGAGGTAGAAAGTGAATGCTAGAGGATTCAGCCCTGGTAAACTTTAACATTGCTGTTAATGATGACAAAAAAATAGAGAGAATGCATTTGAAACTTAAAGATTGAAGGCAAAAGGAGAAGGGGACAACAGAGGATGAGATGGTTAGATAGCATCACTGAAGCAATGAGCATGAAACTGAGCAAACTCAGGGAGGCCATGAAGGACAGGAAGGCCTGGCGCGATATGGTTCATGGGGTCACGAAGAGGCGGACATGACTTAATGGCTGAACAACAATAACAATTTGAAACTTGCAGGCAGTGTATAACTAGATGATCAGATAACTAATACCTTAAAACAGGGGTTCTCAAACTCTGTGAAGCCATGACCCCTCACATTAATAGATTAATGTGTGATCCCATCCCCCATGTCAGGCAAAGCAAGAACTAGGAGTTTGCACCCAAAGCTGGATCACTGTTAGAACTTGCTTCCAGAACCAAGGCTTTCTGTTGGTAGCTTTTGCATTTGTAGCAACAGTTCCAGCAAGAGTCCCAACTCGCTCCTGAGTGCCACCCAAGTAGCTGTGTTAGGGTCAAACTGTTTTTGCTAGTCTCGTCTTCCCCCTTTTCCACATGCAGCTGGCCTTCTATAGCAAGGCATCCTCCTCCTACAAGAAGTAGAAGAGGTGTAGTACTTGGCCTGCCTGGAATGAGTACACAAGCTCAGCATCTGGATTAAACATGACACTCTCTTGGAAGAAGCTGGGAAGAACTACTCTTGAAAGATGGGGAAAATAAGTTGGCAGAAGCACTTTGATCCTGGCTGGGTTGTTCTGGGCAATGCTCAAGTAGCCTGACACGTGACCTTGTCCAGTGCCAGTGGCTTGTCCATGAGCAGAATGGGAGATTCCCCTAAATCGGCTTGCAACCCCCCAGGGGATCACAGTCCATAGTCTGAAAATCTCTGCCTTAGAAGGCAGAAATAAGTTTCAAAGTTAATTTTCTAGAGCTGGATTGTAAATAACAAAATTATATTGAATAGGGATCCATGTAATTCTCTTCATTTAAGAAAAAGAAATCATATGACAAATTATAGAACAGGGGACATGTGACTTAGTAATAGTATACCTGGCATGTTAGTTGAAGCTAAATATGGCTCAGTAATATGATGTGATTGCTATAAAGAGGAATGCAAATTTTACACTCTTTGTGCTACTCCTGGATCAGTTCTGACATGATAGTCCTCTTCAAAACCGGTTTATTTCAAGAGCTTAGTCAGCATTTTTCTAATATGCAAATTTAGCTGAAAATGGAGCAAAGCTGAACTATACTTTTGGCAAAGTTGGGGCTTGTGGTAATCTTCATTTCTGTTGATTTTGTTCTGCCTTTATCATACCTCCGAGTTCTGGGTACAAGCCAGCAAAAATGAAGGTGATTGAAGTTTAGGTGCGATCTTATTTTTAAGAAATTGGGGTTTGGAAATGGAGAGAAAGCTGCGCAGCATGGAAGTGTCATTAGGTTGCACCAACAAAAGTACTGTTTCCAAATTACAGGGAATTACAATTACATTATAATCTTCCCTGAGTACTATCCAATTCTGGATACCACAGTTTAAGCAGGATTCAGACAAGCTTGAACAGAGGCAGAGAAGAAAAATCAAGATGATTAGGAGACTGGAAACTTGGTCTTGTGAGGTTGAGGCATCTGGGTGTTTTTTTCCTTGAAGAAAGTGATTGAGTGGGGATCTAATAGCACTTTTCAAATATCTAGATGGGAATTACGTAGAAGGAGGCCTCATCTATCATTCCAGGATGCTGAACACAGAATAATGGGTTTAAATTATGGGCGGACAGATTCCAATTGAATGTTAGAAAAGATTTCCTAATTGTCAGGGTGGTTTGAAAGTGCAACCAATTCTCCAATGGGATCCCCTTCATTAAATATGTTGAAAGTAGAAGCACATCCAAGACAAAGACTGCTTCTGTGGCAGATTTTTATCCCTTTCATGCAACAATTGCAAATGGCAGCTGGTTGATTCCTAATGATTTCCCAACAAATAACTGCTCTGTTTTTGAGGTTTTCACATGCATTTTTGTCAGGGATTGTAGTAGTGATAGACTTGAGTCTATTTAAAATATCTAAGGTTTTTTTTGTTTTGTAAAAAAGTTAAATAGATTTGTTTGTCCAATGACTTCCCACTGAAAGTATTGCTATGAGTTGAATTCCCCAGAAAATATTTTTCTTGATTCTTGCTTTCAAACCCAGGGTAACAGATCACTGGTTCCCTTGTAGTCTTTAGCAAAATTCTGATTTCCGTAAGCAGCAGTCTTGGTTGAAGCCACATCAAAAAATATGCACTTGCTGATAGTGTGCGTTCTCAAAACAACTCTTTCCTTCAGCAGAGGTATTAACCCCATTCTAAAAAAGACACATAAGTGCATCCTAACATGGAATGTAATAGCAAATCTGTAATAGCTTATTGCTCAGGAACTGCTGACGTTGCTCAGATTTTAGCTCTTGTTACGTAATTGTTGAGCAGTGGGCAGCTTCTTTGCAGTTGGCTTTTGTCTGAGCAGGGTGCCTGGATCTCCGTGGAAGGTCCACGTGCAACTACTGCTCACATCGATTATTCCAGTGTGGCCCTAATTCCTTACTTTTTGTTTTGTCTCCTTGCCAGAAAGGTATACTGTATAAATAAACTACAGAGCAGCAGACTCAACAGAGGGTTGCTTATGAGCATCTATGAGACGAGGAGAGGAAGTGGCAAAATGATACAAATTCTGCCCCTTATGTACTTGTGTGCAAAACTGGGATGCAATTTTGAAAGGTCAGAGCTCCCCTTGTGAAGTCACAATGCCTGTTTTATTATTTTGGTGTTGTCATGGCTAGGGTGTGGAGATCTACAGAGCTCCTGTTCATGGTCAGTTCATAAACCACCTTAATTAATCTCTGGGTTTGCTAAATTTGAAGAGTGCCACATGTCTCTATTTCTGATCTTTGCCTGGACAGGAATCTCTGTGGAATGCTGAAAGCAGGTGGCCACAGCCTGAGGCCATAGAGCCATACATGGCCCCTAAAAGCCTTTTATCCAGACCTCAGCGCCTCTTCAGAAGTTGCCATCAGCTGTAATGTTTAATGTGGCAACGGGAGTATTATTAAATACATGGAAAGTAATCATAATTAAAGAAAAAAGGCAATGTTTGAAACTGTATGGACATGGTAGGAGCAAGTTATGGAAAAGTGTAGTGAATAGCAGTGGTGTAAACTACTTCATGTTTAAGTTCCTTTTCTCTTATTTCCAGCCTTTAATTTCTTTTGCTTATTATTACTTTTTTCCTGGGCTTTGCATAATGTTGCTTATGTGATATGTATGGATCTATGTATGTACTTATAATAATTATATTCAGTTGGCTTAATCACATGTATTTTTTGTCTTGGCTTTGCCAATATTTTGCAGTGTATTCCCTGGCATCCCTCTGAAAGGTCAACAGTGAATTTTGGCCCCAGTCAATGGCAAGAAAGAGATCTGACTTACCTTTTTATTTTCAGAAATTGGAGGATGAGGGAAACAGAGGGGAGGGTTCAAACATTGCTTATGAGTCCCATAATGTAATATTTACTGTTAAAGAGAATTAATGATCTTTAAGTCTTCAATCTGTACCTTAAAATTGAGTCTGAACTATAACATTCTTGACCATAATAGCTGATCTTTTTTGTTTGTTTAATTCAGTCCCTCCCCGACTTTTTTTTGCTTCTTGCATTGCCTAACCTCTTGAAGAATGCCAGAGAGCTCAAAAGTCTGCTCATTCATTCATACGGTCCAATAAAGATATTGTCCAGTTGTGTTTTTCCCCCCCTCATGAGCAAGTACAACTAATTTTAATTTTTAGGATCAATTTGTTAATTATTTTACATTTGGGCACAAATGATGCTGCAAAGAACAGCTACAAACATATCACCACAGATTTTTAAAATCTTGGAGGGAAGCTCAGTGCCTTGAGGATTAAGTGGTCTTCTCTTCCATTCTTCCAGTCTGTGGAAGAGGACCAGAAAGGGAAATAACTGCTGCAGATCAGTGTCTGGTTGTGCAGAGGGTGTTGGTGGGAGAGACTGGTTTCTGGGGTCATGGTTTGAGGTATATAGGTAAGGGACTGCTAGCATGAGATGTGATGCATCCCACAAGGATTGGTAGAATGTGTTTGGCATACGTATGACAACCTATGAGAGCTTTAAACTGAATTGTGTGGGGGATAGAAAGGAAAACCCTGAGGTAAGAACCTTGGATAAAGACTTGAACACTGTAGATGGTAGGAGTGGTGTTGAAATGGGGCTTTATAAAAGCTCAAAAATCAGAAAGAACATTGGTTCATAAAGTTCATGATCTTCAGCGCCTATACGTTTCTGCTCAGAGTACCAGCAATAAACAAGATGAGCTTGAGCTCCTAATACAGGAGGGCAAATATGATTATGTGAAGAGTCTTGTATGCAGTGAAGACAGGCTTGTTGGAGAAGCCACTGGAGGTGGCCATGATGGATACCACTGCTAATTGGATGGTTAGGGTGGAGACTGAGATGTAGTCATCATTTCAATGGAAGTGGCACCAAGAAAAACAGCAGCCCAGAAGAGTGGTAGCGCTGGTGATACCATCTGTCTTGTTGGGTGGGATAGATGAAGAGGGGGAGAGGGGAGCCAGGAGCCACTGGCATTTTCCTCTCCTAGGTCAGTTCAAGGCGTCCCAGTAGAAAGGGCCGCCTTACTAATTGGGACTCAGAAAGGAAAGATACATTGGCTGTGGTAGGGAGAACAAAATACCTGGTGTTCAAAGGCCTGGCTACCTGGCTATTTAAAGGTTGCCCCAGTCCTTACAGTGACACTAGCTCCCCTAGTTGTTAGATATACCTTGTGCAGATGGGGGAGGCCTGTCTTTCGAGGAGGAACTGTCACTGTTTGGGTTCAGAGGCTCATCTGGGTGTGAGATAGGGGCCAGTAGATAGTCCTGGCCTGTCTATAGTGAGAGTGGGGAGTTCCAACCAGTGGTTATAAGAGAGGAGAGATTGTCTCAGAAGATGTTTTTAGCTTAATTATTGAGACAGTGCCATCAAGTGAATTGTATGCTGTTCTGGGTTTAGAGTGAATGTTGATTTTTTTTATTATTTATCTTACTGTATCATTGATTTTTTTTTTAATGTGAAGGTTTTGTGCTCTATTTTTTGTGCGCGACTAAATATCTTAAGATTGCAGCAGTATAGAAATCTAATAAATAAATGCATTACAAATATGCATATTTACATATTATCTACAACCAGTGAGTAACTGCATCAATTTCAGGGCAAGATTAACTTCCAGAGAAAGACTGTTCTTTGACATTGGGGCCATGATGGAGATGGTGGGTGGGAAAGGCACTGGCCTTTTTCTAATCTGCAGCTTAGAGGATAGGGTGGGATTTTGGTAGTTTTCTTCCTTTGGGCCCTCTTCCTGCTTTGTATTCCCTAACTGGGCTGATAGAGCAAGCTAAGCCAAGGATACCTTGATTGATGCTGTGCTGCAAGACTCACAATAAAAATAGGAGGTACATTTCAAATGGAAGGCCAGTTTTGAGGGCATGTCAGCATGAAGGCATCTAAATAAAATAAAAAGCATTGCCGGAGATGTGCCAAGTTCCTTCTTTGTTAAGAACAAGGAAAAAATGCACAGTGAAAAGATAAATTCTGCACCTTTTAAGACACTGCATGGATCAGTTTTTATATACAGTATTTATATTATTAATTTGTTCCTGCTTTTATGTAATTTATTCTGTAAAGGGTCTGACCACTATAAATCGTGGTTAGCAGCATGCCATTTTCATCCTGCTTCAAGATCACGTGTGTAGATCCACGAATAATGCATGATATTAACTTTTGTCTCTTTTGGGTCTCTAGATAATGGCCTTTTTCAGCAGTGACAATAATATTGATATTGTTAGGGTTCCTGGTTGAAGAGGTTGTACATATTTCCATTATAACTAATTTGTTATTGATAGTATTAGAAATATTATTTTCCTAGATGCTTTGGCAGCTAGCAAAATAGAAAGTACTTAAACACACTGTTTCATTTAACCATGTACTACTTGGATTATAGCTATGTGTGAGATGTAGCGTCTGTAGCTATATTAGAGTTTGTTTTGTAAGTATGCTTCCTCTATAAGAATTACACTTTTTGTAAAAAAAACCTGTTAATTTTACATACCAGGCAAAAGAGTTCAATCGAGCTATAGCACCTAATACATCTATAGTTAAGGTGCAGATTATGATTGGACCTTGATCCACAGGTCAAAAAAATGCAAATTGGGAGAAGAAACCTGCCAGCTAGACTCTGATAATCCAAACCATGATAAAAAATATGGCACGATGATGATCTTCTGGCCCCTTTCTTTAGAACCTCAGGCTTGGCTAATGATATCTCGGATTTAACAAATAAGGTTTGGATCTGTTTTCAGAAAAAGGAAGATTAGTTCCTGCAGAGATTATTTGTGCAGAGACTTGGTTAGAGATAAAAATACTGTAAAAGACAAAATAAATGGCCATTAATGACAGCCAGCTCTATCCTAGCTGGCATTTAAACCTGCCATTCTTGTGGCACCTTTTGAAATCTGGCTTCTTGTTCTGAGGCAGAATTTGGCAGTTCTCCTAGATGTATCAGGAAAATGTGTCAAGTGCTGAAGTGTTCATCACATTATGCTTTGCATGAGACTTTATTCTAGCCATTATGCTGTTTTTTTAGCTGTTTAACTGATGGCTTTGTAAAATGGAGCGAAGAGTTGGAAAAAAAAGATACAGTTGGAGTGATCTTCTTCTTCCCTACTGTTTATTATCAGTTGTGATCTTAAATTGTGCAAATTATTTTCCTTAAATATGTGAGAGGGAAAAATCATTCCTATCCCATTTGTTTTCTCAGACCTCCAGTGTCACAGAAGTACCTTAACTGACCTTCATATATTATTTGGAAGAGGACCTCTCACAGAGTGGTTCTTGTGGTTTTTCTGGGTATGTGCAGTGCTGTGAGCAACCATGGATTCCAAGGAGAAACATCAGGTAGGTTTTCTGATCATGCTTATCTATTGTAGGATAACATTTAATGCTTGTTAGGTTTTAGTTAGATCAAGTCCTTGTTTCATTAGAATTTAGGGCCATCAAGTGTGAACAAGTAACTTAGAAGGATAGAATGAAGGCATATAATTAACATTCAGTAATACAATGCTTCTGAGCTGATGATCTACCAAGCTTTGTTTTTTGTGCAGCCAAAAAATCTACTTCTACTTTCTCTTTTTAATTTCTATAAGCTAATTTAATGTGGAAAACCCACCTTTTTGTTACTACTGCTCTTAATATAGGGAAGAGAAATCCCTTGGCCAGTCTGTTGCATTCTTCCACAGACATATCCTTATATTTTGATCTGTTGTTTGTCTTTTCTTGGTTAATTGGATATGCCTCAAGTGGATTTCAGTGGGAAAGAGTTGAGAGGTTAAATATTCTTCATCAGTCTAGTTTCCATTGATAAGAATCTGGAAAATGAATGAAGTTCACTAATGTGTTTGTCAGACAAAATCATGTATAGCCTCAACCAGTGATTTCTATACAAGTAGTCCTCGTTTAGTGACTGCCTCATTTAGTGACCATTTGCAGTTATGACAGTGATGAAAAAGTAACTTTATGACCAATCCTTGCATTTATGACTTTGCAGTCCTGTAAAGCAAAGGAAAGCTGAGATAAGATCATAAGCACAGCTGCGGTTTCACTCAGTGACTGCTCTGCTTAATGATCGAATTGCCAGTCCCAATTGTGGTTGCTAAACAACGACTACCTGTATGCTTAATATATACATTTTATATTTTGATTTGGTACTTTTTCATTTTTACCAGGTTTTAAATTTGGGGGAAGATTTTCTTTTTCTTTTTTCCTTCCTCTTATATTTCTTGGTTCTGTTTTGGGTGTTTTTGTTGTTGTTTATTAATTGTAAGTATTTCATTGCTTCCTTTTGTATTCTATTTATTTTTTGTAATCTCAATGTTAAAAAAAATAAAATGGAAAGAAATAAAAAAGCAATTAAACATGTTATCATGTATGCCTTGGTATGAATTCACAAGGAAGATTGTTAATTTACTGTATTAGGTTTATATCCTGCCCTTTGTATAGGAATTTAAGGTGATATATATAGCATTCCCTCCTCCTGTTTTTTCCCACAGCAGCCCTGAGATATAGGCTGGGGGAGAGAGAAGGAAAGCGACAATGTGGGTGTGAGTGAGTGATTGGCCCAAAGTTACCCAATGAGCTTCCATGGTTGAGGGTTGACTAGAGCTTGGGTCTCCCCACTCCTAGTCCAGCACTTTAATCACTGTACCACACTGGCTCACAGATGCCACAGAATTCTGAACTGGTGGCTTTTCATGGGAATTCATTTGTCTAGATTTGTGTAAAGGAAGCAGTTGTGAAGAGCAGATATGTACATAACAAGGGAAATGCAAATATTCCAGCTTTCTTGGGGCCACATCTATTGTAGGAATGGTGACTTAAGACCAGGAAGTTATATGCTGCATTTCATTTACTCCTTTCTCTGTGGCTCTGAGCATCCCAAAACATATGCAGAAACACTAGGAATTTTGGCAATGGTTCCTTTTTGCATTCTGTTTTTGGAGTTTGAGGAGTTTTAAGGGATGAACTGAGTGCCTCAAACCTTTGCAAGGGTTAAGGTATCAATTTAATCCCTTAAAATCCTCCCCAAAATGTTTTAAAAAATGCCTCTGCTAACTCTACTATATTGCAAGATGAAAGGCCATATACAGTAATACCTTGGTTCACGAACGCTTCTGTTCACGAACAATTCGGTTCACGAACAGCACCGTTCACAAAACTTTGCTTTCGTTCGCGAACTCCGCATCGGGTGACGAACACGACCCGCGGCCATCTTCCCTGCTCTGACACGTGGTCGTGGCTTTCTGTAGGCAAGGAGGACTCTCCCTCCAAACAATAACCACTTCCCCACCCGCCTTCCTGTCCTCCACACCAGAAGTCGCCTCAAGCAAGGTTAGTGTTCTCTCTCTTCGTACTGCACTGTACTGTACTTTGTT